AAAGAAATAACTAACTAAATACAATTAAAATATATGTACAGTTTTATTCAATAATTAAACATAATTTGTGATTCTTTTTTATTACGATATAAAATGTGTAATATCAATTGCATAATAAGTCAGCGTTTTCCTCTATTAGTTATTACCGCACTGATAATTTCTTTCATATTAAAAAATAATTTAATTAAAAATGCTAACAAATCTTTCTGAAATTCCTTCCTCGGGCAACTGTTTCCCCTGTTTCAACGAAACATGTAAATGCATATCCCTTTTAAGGCACCTTCCACCCATCAGTCAAAAATAATTTTTTGCGTTTGATCATTGGCGGCGGCCCCGGCGGTCCAGTTGCACCCCCGGTGCAGCTTTCGGCAAGGCACGCCTCTGGCGACTGCGGCGGCAACATTCTGATAAATATTATAGAACTTTATAGAATTAATTATATATGAAAATGTGAAGCGTAATTAATTTACCTTCAAGAGATTGGCATCAGCAGTAGACGTCGAAGGTCCAGGTTGAGACGTATCAGGCTCCTCGACTTCTTGATAAAACCATATGAGTTTATTTCTCATATGGGGTAAGAATAATTGGTTTATTTCGTCCAGCTGATAATTTTTTGTTTAAAAAATCATTTAATTTGTTGTTTAATATTAAAAATCATTAATTACAAATCATCAAATATAAATGGTTCATTTACGAATGTAATTGCAAAATAGAAAAGTATTAATTCATAAAAAATATAATTTCAAAAATGATGACCGCGAACATGTTGTTATTGCTGATATATTACTGCTACAGAAAAAAAATCTTAAAAAATATACTATAAATAAAAAAACAAGTGATTTTGAATTTGACAGATCAAAATAAATGTATAATACTTCAAAATTATGAAAAATGATACAACTATATAAATCTATTTGTATATTATTACATTTAAAAAAGCATTCCTTTTATTCAAATTATATGACATATATTAGGAGTTTAAATCGAACTTCTTTGAATGAATATATAATGCCAATAAATTTATTTATTTATTTATTTTACAAGCCGTCGGTATAATAATATTATAATAAGGCTCAAGATGATATTTTATAGATGTAATATAATTTAATTAACTATTAGCTTTTATTATTTATTTATTTATTAAATAATTTATTTACTATAAACTTATTTATATTTAGTTGATTTTAATTATTTTTAAATATAACTAGTTTGTTTGTTGCGAGTGTTTTTTAAAAATTTAATAAGTATCTTTTACAATATAATTATTTTATTTAACAAATTTTAGGTTATTCTTATATTAACTTTTTAATTAAGTTTTTTCTTAAATTCCAAAATTATTTTTAATAAAAACTTTATGCAAAGTAAAAAAAATATATATTTGATGATTGCATTTGATGCATTGATGACTATTGGCTCAAGTTTAGGTTTAAATTATAGCACTTGTTTTGTTACATAAATACTTGATATGATATGATACATTAGGCACAGTATATAAATAATTAACCTATAAAACGACAACATTTTCTTACTATTTAAAATAATATTTAGGGTTTTTCAGTATTTACTAGACTTCCAACCTTTCAGCATTTATGATGCCTCAAGGCAAAAGAATTGGTGTTTTTGTTTCGATAATAGAAAAAGACAAAAAGTAGCATATTTTCTAATTAGTGAGTATATATGAAAAATTATTTTAACAATAAAACAATATTCATGTTTCATTTTATATTCGCATTCTATATTTTTGATCGTTAAAATACGATGACAAAAACTAAGATTGGGATTAGTCAGTTACGATCTGCTAAGTAACTGATGTATTAATTGTTATTTTATAGTATTTTATTGAAGAATAATACATAGATTCTTCGAGAAAGAAAAAAATGTAACAAATTTGCAGTTTTCATGATAAGTTATTTTACAATATTCCTACTTTACCAAAAAATATTTTTATTTCACCAACTATTGGTGAACCACTCGTTGCGTTCCAACGATTGCTAGAATGTTGGATGATTGGCGAATAAATAAATAAATAAATTTTTCAATCTATAAATACGGAAAATAAAGTATATTTTAAAACAAAAATAGTTTTTAACTGACTTTATAAATTTTATGAAAGAAGCAATTACCATATTTCCCTCGAAGACATGATCCATGATTTCATGTCTTGGCAATCCAGTGCCGTCGATAAGAAGCTGGAAAGTGTACTCGAGGCGCGGGTCCATCTCCCCGCGCCTCGCCTTTCGCTCGCATTCTTCACGCCGTCTCTGGAAAAAATAATAGTGAAAAATACATATGAGATATTATACATTTATTAAAATTAAAATTGAATAAAAAATGCTTTTTATAAGATGTATACAAAAAATCTAAACTATTGCTGTATAGTATTGTGTCTTGACACAATTACTGGTACTTCCCAATGTCGAAATATATTATGTTTTATATGTATTACGTTCAATACATATAAATACAATATATATGCAATTTTCAGTCACAATTTTAAACATTCTGTAATAATACAAACAATAACGCTTAGAAATCGTCTTAATTACTATAGATTAACAATAAAATATAGAATACAATATGCCTCGGAAAAATTTATCGATAATTAAATGAGTTATTCAAGTCCAGATGGTACATTATGTTAGTGTTTATAATATAAATGATATAAAAATCATTTCATTAATTTTGAGAAAAAATAAATAATGATGATTCAAAGAACTTATTAAGTCCCCAAGTGCATTCTATAAATTATTTATGTTATTTTAACTTTATTAAGTTTTATAGTTTATTGTCAATTGCGTTGCGATTCTTAGTATTTATAATATTAAAAACCAAATATGATAAATAGTAATATTCTCCTATGACTGACTTTGCATCATTTACTTTCAATTCAATAACTTAATCAATGAAGACAAAATTACATAACATATTACATTAATTATGAAAAACAATTTTAAAACTAGATGTAAACCTTCCGATATGTGTTAATAAATTAATAATAGTAATAGACTTAATTAATACGAAATAAGATTTAACATCTTTTCAAATAGAGATTACACCAATATTTAGAGAGTCAAAAGACTATTGGTACTACCAAGAGTGTTTCGATTATAAAAACTCACTCATCAGTTTGGTAGACCTTTCATAATTTTAGTTGTTAGTTTATAAGACCATAAACTCTACCACTGTGCAAAGTTTCATTTTTCCAACTATTAAATGTGACGAAAAGACTCAGTCGATCTTTACCTAAAGCTAATCAGCGCGATTACGAACTATAATGTCTTTCGAACAATTTTTAAATTTTTAAAATCGGTTCAGGATTTTTGGCGAAAAGGTCGATCTACAGTTTTGTAATTAATTATTTAAAAAATGTGAGTTCTTATAGAGTTTCATCGAATAGATTTTTTTTAAATTGCTGCTTTTATATTTAAGAGAACGTCAATGAAAGCTCATATTTCAGCATAGCATACATAACACACAACAAAAACATGTTTTCCAAATGTTGATGTCAAAGAATTCGGAATTACTTGAAACGTCGAAAAAATAGGAAATTAATGAATGGGATTTTTCTTAGTAGTGTAATGATTGTATTATTCTTTAAAAAAAGTCCAATATTTGATTTGAACATCAGCTTTTATTAGTGTAGTTCTAGCCGCTTGAGACATGTTACCACTTATTTTGCTACTGAGAATGCTTTTTTCTAAATATCTTCATAGTATTATAAATATATCTGTTCTCTCTAATTTTAGAATTATAGAAATTCCATTAATAAATATATGTGTATCAAATATTGTTAGATCCATCGATGAATTGCCTTCTAAAAGACGAAGCTGGTAGATCTGATATGTTCTGATTGCTGTTCAAAAATCTAACTGATCAATTATATATGTACATACACGAGTTCTTATAAAGGTACCTGTATCTTAAAATTGTCCATAAAACAGTGACAATAATAACAATACGTAATATATGAGTTATTCTTTAATTGTTTTTTAAAAAAAAATTGAATTTTCCATAAACCTTGATTGAAAACCATTTGATTTAATTTCACATATATTTTGGTCTGGTCATATTTTATTACATGTTCGAATACGTATTACTACCTATGCGGAAATTTCAAGTTTGTAAATCATGACAGTTATTGAACAGCAACGATAGTTACGAAATTCCATGTAGTTTTATTGCAGTGCGTGTTTGATATCGGTATATGCGATCCATTATTCGGTCACATATATCTACTACCATATAAATGGCAAGATTTTCAGTTCCAATGCAGGAAGGCAAATATATAAAGACAAATAGAACTCCAATGTTCACTGAGAATGTTATCGAAATATCAACATAAGAAGTAAAAGTGGAAAAGCAAGTAAATATGCAAGAAAAATATTGTAATATTGATAAACATAAGACTATTTATAAACATGAAACCTAATTCAAAAGTACACATTGGAGCGATTTACATGACGTCGTTGTTGATGCTTCGATAGTGGACTGTAATTTTTATTAATCGACGAAATGCAAAATCCCCACGGTGATTTTTTTAGAAAATGAAACTTCTCTTATATTCACATTAATTTTATTCTATATACTATTTTACAAGACACCTCCTTATTCTTTGCCTGTTAATGCTAGACTGAATATCCATTTGAATTCCAGGCCCGACGGAATACATTTTATTGACATATTTTATAACCTAATTATATGAGCCGTCGAACCTGGGCAAGATCGTCCCTGTTTACGGGATTAACAAACCTTTTCCTAGCCGTTATATGTAATAATATTTTATAATGTTACAGCGACGGTCGCACCAGATGTTCTGGTTTAAAAATTATCCATTCTCCGCCGCCTTAATTATTCACTTATAATTAAGATCAGTATGTATATAAGTATGTAATTTTACAATGGCATTATGTACTAATTAAAATTACTAATTAAAGTAATTGTGAAATTATGTGAATGTGTTGATCACAACAGTTTATATAAAAAAGGATTATTGACAAATACCAAAATGAATTTCATAGTAAAACATAATTCTTAATACTAATTTTAAAATAATTGTACTGTGTAAATAATGAAAGTACAGTGATATATTTATTTTATAAGAAAAAAAAATTCTATTCTACATCTCCTACCGGTAATGGGCACAATTTAACAATTGGCCTTATAAATATGCCATTTTTTGTTTTAACTGTAGCTACTCTCACATTTTTATCTTTGCCGATTGCAGTGCCTATAACGCGACCCAGTAACTAGCTTAATGGAGGTAAATTATCTTCCTTTAAAAGAACTATGTCGTCTACTTTTAAATTTTTTGAGGAAGTTTTCCATTTGTAACGACTCTGAAGCTGACCGAGATACTCTATGGACCAACGTTTCCAAAATTTATCTTTTAATTGATTAAGTTGTTGCCAAAGTGATAATCTACTCAACGTTACATCGATTAAGCTGGGTTCCGGAAATGCGGTAAGTGCTTCACCTATCAAAAAATGTCCGGGGCTTAAAAACGTCGGTTTATTACTACCATCAAAAACACTTGTAATTTCCTAGCCGTTATATGTAATAATATTTTATAATGTTACAGCGACGGTCGCACCAGATGTTCTGGTTTAAAAATTATCCACACATAGAGGTAGATTTTCTTCAATCGACCACTGAGAACTTTTTTGTACTGTTATTTTTTGCGTATTAAGTGAGCTTGTTTACTTATATATTGCTATAATTTGTCATTTTGAAAATACTAAAGCATATTCAGTATAGAATAATTATTTGATTGCAACAACTCAATACAATATTGAATTAAATATCATCAAAGAAATCATGCTCTTTCTTCAACTTGTAGACTTACTCAATAATATTTATCACGAATTTTAATAACTTGTAAGTCTACTTTTTTGTTATGGTTTAGGCATATTTTTATATACTCGTATATTTATACATTATTTTTTGCATGGTACTAGGTATTTTGAGCTATGAACAGCTACAAAAATTGATAAAAAAAATTTCGTAAAATTCACTTTCACTTAAAATGCCAAAACAGAACTTATTTTCCCTCCAGAAAATCAAGAATTTTTCTTTCGATATTTGAAATAATTCTATATCACCAAAATTGGTGTGTGAGAAATGACTACACCGATTTCAAAAGTTTTAAAACATTTGATGAAACTCACTAAGAACTCGCATAGTAGTTTTGCTCGACGATCAGCCAGCCGTTTCTACATAGTTAATAGAGAAGTGCAAAGTTTTTCGTATACGTTTTCGCTAATAGTAAAGTGATTTTAAAAATTCCAAAACTTTTTGTAAAAAATTAGTTGGCAATCGTGATGATTAGTTTTTGGTAGAGATATGAGCTGGGCTATTTCTTTATAGTCATTTGTTTTTTTGCCGAAATTTGCATAGCAATAAAGTTCATGGTCTTAAAACACATCCTAAAATATAGACCTACAAAATGTAGTTCAATATTAAAATTCATTAAAATTTGGCGTTAAACTTTAAGGAAATGACACACCTAGTTTTACATAAAGACCATAAATGCAAAACAAGATATTTTGGTATTGTTTATAATTTAGTACTCACAGTGAAATGTAAACTATGCAATAAATATTATTTATACATCAAGATTATCTGTTCCATATATCATAACTAAAAAACATTTAATTAATTAAGAGCTTGTAAATCATATACAGTGCATTCTTTATTCACTTGTATGTTTGGGTTTGTATACAACTCTACATTGATATTACTAATATTTTGTCATTGCTGATCTCTCTCATGTCATAATACATATAATTTTTTAACAATTTTTGATAAATATACCATAGAGTTATATTAGAAACCGTCAGCAAGACTAGTTATTTTTTATTGTTTTTTTATATTTTTTTAGCAAGATTAGTATTTAGTTCTTTATGAAATAGGCTAAAATTGCAAAATAAATTAACAAAACACCTGTAATATCTCACTAGCAGAGATTTCTTCTTCAGATTCCTCTTCACTACCTCCCTCACCTGGTTTTAAATTATGCACAAACATAATTGAATATTAGAAATAATTAGATGTTACCACAAGTTTAAAAAAAATAATTTAAATATTATATGGAAATAATTAATTTCGGAACATATTAAGTAGATCACTTATATATAGCTCTTAAAGCACATTACGATCACTTTTCTATAGCTCTTGATCAAAGTAAAAAAAGCAATTTTAAGATATAAATTAAATGTATTCCACAATGATTACACTACACTATAAGTATTGCAACATTTTTGTTAATTTATTAACGATGCAAATAATATTTGCATCATTATTTAGTTTTTTCTTAATTTTCAATAAATTTCTTCGTATGTCTTAAAATATCCTCTCACTATAAGGTTTCTTGTGGGACTGACATATGAAAACTCAAGTTATATCACAGAAGATATGTACAATATATTTGGTCACGGAAACCGCTCTGTAAACATTTTCCTGACAGCCTAAAACTTTGATTTTGATATCTTCTTATATTAATAAGTTTGGCCAAAGTTTACTTTAATAGATTATGTAAATTTGGAACGAATGTTAAATATTCTGTTAGGGGAGATGGATGTAGGTTGTACAAACTAGCAAATTAGTTCATTTGATTTTGTAATTTTCTTTAAAGACATCGAATATAGACATACCTTTTCCTGACATTTTTTTACAGCATATAATCACAAGACTGTTTTTTTATTTTGAAATAATATCCATTATTTTTTGTGTAAATTCCTTTATTGCTTTTTTATCAGTTTATATTATACTTTCCATCAGTATTACCAGCACATATCAAATCACTCAATCACGTCTTTGTTCTTCTATGTTCCAAATGTGTACTTTGGCAATTTCTTCTACAAGTACTGATTTTTGCATTTTGCAGTCACCGTTATTTAAAATTCTGACAATTATTTATATCTCTCACAGAAAGTCACAAATTTTATAAATTTAAATTGACAACTCCTTTATTTGCTTTATTTTTATAATATTTATCATATCATATTTATTCAATGATGTTCCTAGTTTTAAGTTTCTTTATATATGCAATAATTATATATTTTAATATATATTAAAATTTCAATATATTTCATAAATATAAAATCTTTCAATGAAACTATTGAAGATTGAGCAACTGCGTGCATCGTATGAAAATTGTGTCTTGGTACCGTATAAAAAGGGTACGTTACAGTTTTCGATCAAGATTATCATAAACTGGATATGTCATTACAGGACCAATAACTCATAAATCGATTTTAAAAAAAACTGTATTTGATATCGCTTTGTTTGAATATAAGTTCCTATCAGATATTACATATACAATAAAATAAAATCGATTCATAAACTTGCATTAATACAACTATGTAATATGTAATTTTATTATAGGGAGTACGTGGCACAAGGGGTGGGGTTAGAGCTTTGACCTAACGTTTGCATTACAATTAGGAAAAGCCAAGTGTTTGATTGCCTTCTAATAAAAAATATATCAGAACTAGAATATTTCCTTCTAATTAATTAATAAATTGCAATTATGACAAATAAAAATAAACCGTTCGTAGTTCAGTAAGAATCTAGGAATTGCATCTACTAGGGTCCAGGTTGAAATCAGTAATGTTTAAAAAAATGATAACAATTTAATCGAACCTTTACAATATAGTAATATATAATATATCAATAGTAATTGTAATATGTAATATATAATGATAACTAGTGGGGTGTATGGCATCGTGCCTTATGGCAAATTGCTGGAACTTCCCGTACCGTAACGAAATGTTCGAGAAATATTGAATGTTTTCAAATAGATTATTATAAATATTGTAACATTGTTTAATATTTATAAGAATTATATAAACTAAATTGCAAAGTTAAAATTATTTGTTTGAAGTATATTAGAACTTTAGTCGGAATTGAAAATAAAATCTGAATTATTTTCGATATATAAAAACCAATTATTTTGTTAAAACAAGCAGAAAGTTCTTTGAACCATTCAAACCGGACGCTTAGTTCTCTTAAAAACTGCCATTTTTTGCTGGGCCTGCCTTTGCCAAAAACTAATAACCATTTCTCCCAATCATTACAAATTGAATGTTTTTTGGATCATTCAAATCGGATACTCCGTTCTCTCAAAAACTCGATTTCTATTTTCTGCACTCTTTGCTCTTTATCTCTGTAACTGCTGGGCCTGCCTTTGCCAAAAACTAATCAGCACATGTCCCTATCAATAGGAATCGAATGTTTTTTGAACCATTCAAATCGGTTGATCCGTGCGCCCGAAAACGTGGTCGAAAAATTGTATCTATACATGCACACAACACACACACATCCATTATTTTCTGAGGTATGCCAAAATGTTCAGATACCTTCAAAACGTCGAGAAATGTAAAAATTTTCAATTTCAATTTTTGGACGATTACAATAACTTACCCTACGAGAAGTTAATAATAATTAATAGTAATATTTAATTATAATATATTTCTGAGTGTTTAACAGATACACCTACCAATAAATTATGGCAGAAATAAACTTACCGGTACTCTATGAGTAGTGCCTTTATGAAATCTGCGATTCGCCATTTTCAGTAATTTTTCACATTTTCTTCTTAACAATATAATTTAAAAGCAATCAATCAAAATTAAAATATAGTTAGTTAATTTTTATAATTTTATTAACTGACTGATTAATATGATTCGATTATTGAAACTGAATAAAAAATATTTAGTAAAGAAAACTATCCGAAAAATATGAAGAAATAGATAAAAAGTAATTAATGATAATTTTAACGCAGAATATGTATAAAAATAAACTTATTTGAAATAAATATTAAATATAATGTTAACAGAGTTTTTTTATTAAAATCAATAGTTTATAACAAAGTATAATACAAAAAAATATAATAATGTTGGGCTATCTAAATTAAAATCAATGCACCGCACAATTTGTTTGCTCTATGCTTATTTTTTTATATCTACTCTATAATATAATATTAAGTCAGATATTCCGTTTTCTCACATTAAATAATTTACTGTATCATCCACAAAACTTTCAAGAGCAATGGTTTTCATAAGTAATGTAATTGTCCTATCGTATTATGCAATATACTCGAGCATAATGCAATGAAAGTAGTTATAATCAATTTATGGAAAACGTTGAAACTTCTTACTTTAGTTATGAGAACAAATTATAACTCATAAATAAAAACATTATTGTAAATTATGTAAATTATGTATAGGTTTGTAACTCGAAGGATGTTGCAAAAAGGTTTGAGATAACAATGAAATATACAATTCAGGCTAAAGAATTTCTTTTGGATATAAATTTAACTATTTTTGAAATGCTATTAGATAACTAAATTCTTTGTTAAAGTTCGGTATTAACTCAAAACAATGCATGTGCAGTTAAAACTAATGATAAATTTTGTATAAAAATCTAGTATAAATACTTTACCTTATATATTTAATAATAAGGTACAGTATTAACCCAAAACAACGTTCTTTCAAAATATTTATAGAAACTATTAATAAGTAACATTAATAAACTTTAATTTAAATTAATAAAATTTATAGAAACTATTACAAGTAATAATATTAATAATTTACTGTAATTGAAAATTTAAAACATTTGTTAAAAATGCAAAAAATTTAAAACGATTTAAAATAAGCCCATATATAAATAAATTGTTGCCTTATGTTATTTATATGACATTCATATATGAATGGAATGCTAACGATCGAGAGCTTTTTACACAAAAAAAGTTAAATAAATTTTGACATGAGTTTTATAGCAAATCTATTTATTTCGGCTAAAATCATAGCTTTTATGCAATATCAAATAAATCTATGGTATTTAGGTAAGCCATATTTTAACCTGGTTTAATAATATAATGAAATATAAGCACAGGCCTTATACATATATATTATATATGTATTAAGGTCTATGAATATAAGTCTTACTCCTAGATAATATTAGAATATGTTATATTCATAAAATAACATAAACAAACAAAAAAAATAAAAATCATACATACATAAGAGTATAAAACAAATGGATGTTAAATTAACCTATATAGAAAAATGATAAAAATGCTAATATGCGATCGTTAGTATTCAATTGATTTTTGATATAAGTTTATTTTAAGTGCATATAAATATACAGGGTGTCTCAAATCTTGACAAACGGAGTGATAGAATTAACTTTAACTGTCAAAAAAAAAATAGAAAAAAAATGATCTCCGTAGTTTTGAAATTATGAGCTTACAAGTGCGATCTAGAGCTTTCGTAAAATTATGACCATTGTTTTTCTAATATTTTTATTATTAACAAATTTTATTTTAGATATTATTTTATTATTATTATTTGCTTTTATTTTATATTAATTCAACATACTGATATCATTTTAATGTAAATACTATCCTTTATTTTGTACTCTATTTTATTTATATTTATGTTGTTGTTCATTAATGTTAATGTTTAGCAGTTGTAACAAATATTGTAATTAAAAAAAAACAAACTTCGTGAGATAATTTTTTTTTTCTAAACTTTTCAGGACAGTTAAGTCAATACTATCACCCCGTTTTGGCTTGACATCAAGGTCTGAGATGCCCTATATATAGTTATATTATTTAAAATTTAATTTTATAATACATACTAAATATGAAAATAATTATTAAAAAAATTAAATATTAAAAAAACTCGTTTAATTTAGTCAATCAATATTTTATGAACCGATAACAAAATGAAGAAACTCTTCTACTCATATTTATTACCAATATTATCTCAATAAAACATATCACTTTTCATAATCATATAATCCTGTCAGTATTATTATAAATCACTTTCTGCGCGAATAAGAAATACATCAATAAATCGAAGTCGTAAAAATAACCGATCGTGTTTATTTCCACATAATTCACGGATATTTGGATATTCAGAATAGGATAGATGGATGTAAAAGCTCAACTAAAGATTGATTTTTCTTCGTCGGATTTTACGCATTTTCCACACATATTCATTTACCAACACCTCCAAGTG